TGTCTGTCTGTCTGTCTGTCTGTCTGTCTATTCTTCTGTCTGTTTATGCATACATATATACATCTGCGTACATGTGATATGTATTGTACTTGTACGTATACAGAGTACACAACCTCACAAGTCAAATGTGTTTAGCCAAGGAAGACTGCGCTGAAGCAGAATTCGAGGCAGGATTGATGAAAAGAAAAATAGCACAGAGACACAAAAGGGCAGGGAGAGAGAGAGAGAGAGAGAGAGAGAGCGAGCAAGCGAAAAAGGCAGATGAAGAGACGTTCAGACCGAGAGGCACATGGAGAGAAACAACCCGAGAAAGGAGAACACAGAGAGAGAGGGAAACAGAGCCAAAGACGGATAAAGAGCGAGAGAGAGAGAGAGANNAGAGAGAGGGAGAGAGAGAGAGCGAGTGTCCGAAAAGGCACACAGAAACAGAGAGGACTCGAGACGAGGAGCGAGTGTGAGCGCAAGTCGAGCATGCAGACCGAATCCAAACCCCAAGCCAGACAACATTCTGCTGCGCGGCCGAGTTCGGGCCAACGTCAAGAATGGCATAGCCCTGCCTGAAGCAGGCTCTGACTCTTGCATCATCGTCTAGGCTGTCATCGTAAGCATTTGCAAGGACTCTGAAGGTGATGCCGACGATACTGACGATGAAAGTGATGATGCTGCTGGCTTCTGCTTCTGGAGAAGATGCATACTAACATGATGATGATGATGATGAGGATGATGCTGATGGTAGTGATGCTCATGATCACGATGATGATGACGATGCTGGTGATGCTGGTGATGATGGTGATGATGGTGATGATGATGATGACGAGCAGGAGGAGGGGCAGGAGGATGAGGAGGACGAGGAGGGAGGAGCATAATGAGCGAACTGCAGCAGTGGTTGATGATAATGTCCATGATGAGCCAAAGCCGTATGAAGGTGGCGTTGATTTTGAATTGTCCATGAGACTGAAAGACCAGTTGATATGCATGGGTAGTATGATGCCCCGGGCTGTGCAAGCCGTGGCACTAAGTCCTGACAACCATGCCTAAAACTTGTTATTGGCTGTTCCGGGCAGAAGTCCAACCCATCGTCCGAGTATGATTGTATGGACTCACCCTCCCAGCCCTGAAGGCCTCAAAGCTGTGGCCATTTCCTTGCCGTTCCTTCCAGATTCCAGACGCGAAATTTGGCAGAAGGCCTCGGGCCCTTCACGTGTAAGCCGAGGCTTACCTGGCCTGAAACCTATATCTTCTAAACCCGAGGGCTGTGCGCAAGAATCACAGCTTCCTTACGTCGTTTTATGTGGAAAACTGAGATCGATGGCCCCGCAGCCAAGCTTCCCGACTTCATCATCTTCGCATGTCGCTTGTTCAGTTCAACTCTATTGCAGACACGGTGAAGGTTGTACCGAAGGACCCCGACCATCCCCACATCAAACAAGGAAGTCCTGGGACCTCCGGATTAGTTGCTCCTGAGCTTCCCGCCACCCGACCTGTTCACAGCTTTGCAATCGGTCATGCAGAGCAGTCCTGCCGGACGGCTCTCCCTGCCAGGGAATGGCGGCCCAAACAACGGGAAGGGCGGCAGCAACGACCCAAAGAACCATTCTCCCACAGCAGCTCATGGCAGGCAGCTCCCTCAGTCGGTCTCATCCCGAGGAGAGCAGATGCTGATTGAGCCGTGTGCTTGCATGCCTTCTGGGGGCCCGGCTACAGGGATTGATGTTGGGGTGGAGTCTCGGTGTGAGGTGGTGCCAGGCTTTGCAGATTATTCTTCTTCAAGCAGCAACGCATTAAGCTTCTATCCACTTAAACTGAGAAACTCAGGATTTAGGAACATAATCCGTGTCTTGGTCCAGTCGCTGCCCAGTCTCCTTTTCGTCGCAACTGTCGTTTGCAAAGGCTCTCTCATCCTTCCATGTCACGTGCGGTTGCAAGGAACGATAACGTTGTTTTTGCGGCTACGGCTAAACGTCGCTGAAACGCCAAAGCGCTTCCACAAACCAACTCTTAGCCCAAAATATCCAACGACCAAAACTCCTAAACTCTTCAAGCCCTCTCCCAACCACGACCTCTGATCTCACCGAGTGGAAGGCAGGGTCGCTTTCCATTCTGCTGGCCAGAGATGCTTGAAGTGGAGGTTGTGTCATGGTTTACCACAATGTGCCGAATCTCGAAAGTGGGTCTTGCTACTGTTGTTGTCATCCCTTCATCATCATATGCCTATCTGTAAATATCTATGTATCTATCTATCTATCTATACATACATACATACATACATACATACATGCATAAATACATATATATATACACACATGAATATATATATATATATATATATGTATGTATGTATGTATGTATGTATATATATATTATGTGGAAAACAGGGCCCCCGCAGCGTACTTTTCTGTGTGTATATATATATAGTCTACACACGTATGTATCTAAATACGATTACAAACATACATGTAACAAAGAGTTGCATCCATAAAAGGTACTGTTACACACACACATATATATTTATATATACATACATATATATACATACATATATACATATATACATATATACATATATATATATACACACATACATATATATATATATATGCATATAGTTACATGTATATATATATATATATGTAAATAGATATCTCCATACTTGCAAGCTCACTGTCTGTGCAATCGTCACAAAATGCAATTGTATCTATTCGTATCTGATGGTTGCGGTTTTTCTTGTCGTAGCCTTGGACGCGACAGAAAATATGTCGACTTCCGGACTGTACATCTTCACGACTCGAAATTCTGAGGCAACGACAACAACATCCGGTTCCGGAAACCTTCGCAGTAGAAGTAGTGCTTTTCAATGAGTGCATCCATGCTCCCATGCTTATGTTTGCTCGGCTCCTGTCATGAATTTCAGTGGGGGCTTCCATGCCGCCAAGCTTAAGAACGTACGGTTCCCAGTGTATCCACACCAGAGGCACCGTGCGGCCAGCCATCTAATGCCAAAGTTTGCCCGACAGCGGCTCCTAGTTTATTGAAAAAAACATCCAGGATGCAAACACAAGTAATCTGTGGGTGCTAGAGCATCCTTGACAATGACCGGCTTGTGGTGCAATTCAATGCCAGCATGACTGATGGCAACCTCAAGAGCCCGTTATTGCTGCATGTCAATTTACCGCTTTGGAACAGAAATATCCTTGTTGCCGAACTTGGTGACACAGCAACTATCCTGCCTGCGGGCTGGCATGTTTCAAGGAGAGAACCTATGTCACCATTAACAACGCTCGGTTCTGGCTTGTTGGCACTGTGAAGCCTTTCCCAAACAGAAAATGTTCAAACACTTTGTGGTGCTGGGCCCTTTTCCGTATGCCGTGTGGTCACACATTCCACCGGGTCGAGACAAGTCATAAAGTCATTCAGGGCAACGTACAAAAATACAAGGTGGAAGCCGCTAGCACGTTAACCGCAAACGGACACACTTGCTGTGCACAGTTTTCGGCAGCTCTACTTTCTGTGTCGATACTATCCACTGGCATGGATGTTGGTCTGACTGATTGCTGTGCTGGAGCGTACCTACGGTACCTCCAACATTATGAAGCTTCCCGTCTCCCGGTACCACGTTGAGATGTAACCTGGGCGTGGTTCAGGAACACAAACAAACGCAGGTGTCCCTTTTGCTACAGGCGCACAGCTGGAGTTCAGTACTTTGCTAGAGCTTTGAGCAACAGGCATGGAGACATGCAAGTGATACGCGAAACAGACAAGCACCTGGATGTGCAACATTCAGTGTTTCACCCCCCACCCCTACCAGACCATACCATTGGAGGGGGGTGGGGGCTGGGAACGTCACCGCCTGACCCTTTACGGTGCAGGGCGGCCAGGCCCGCCCCTCCCCCACCCCATGGCATCCTCTCCTCTCTCTGTGGTTCCCTGTGCTGCGGGTTCCCCCTCTGTCCCTCTTCGAAGATGATGATCACGATCCCCGTCCGCACGCTCCTCCGGTCCCTTGCTCAAAAGTCCTACATTTGGTCCTAAATGAAAGTCAATCAAGCACATGCTCGGGCTGACTTTTACGTGGTTTAACGCACCCAACCGAAACTGAGCATAGGATGACTGTGGTCCATACAAGCTACCAAAATCTAAGACAAAAAGCATCACGCCAAACAAGCTTTTGAACAAGTAAAACCAAAGAGCATGCGGTACCGGGCAGCACAGCATAAGAGCAGTGGTGCTACCAACAGTCACACGCAGAATACCAGCATGCAAGAAACACATCAGCATCACTGTCCTCAGCATCATCGCCATCATTCTGTTTCGTGCGGGGAGGAGGGTGGCGGGGGTTGCGCGATTTTGCGCCAGAGTTCCACAAGACAAAAGAACGCCGACAGTTACGAGGAAGAAGACGCGGACGAGCACCATCGCTGTGACTGTGCTCGGATGAGAGGCCTGGCCTGGCTGTCTTTTGTGGGAGGGAGAGGGGGGGGGGGTGACCGGGTGACCATACATATATACATATGTATGTATTTTGTATGTATATATATATATATGTATGTATATGTGTATGTATATGTATATGTATATGTATATGTATATGTATATGTATATGTATATGTATATGTGATATTTATATATGTATATGTGTCTGTACGTGTTTGCACATACTCTACCTCCACAATCCACACTTCGTCTCGAGAGCGCATGGGAAGCATACTACTACTGATAATGCTGACGTGTATATCGGCGCAGCTGCTTAATGCTGTTAATGCTGATGGCGGCGTTCCTCGATTACAGTTGCACATTTTTCGTAGTGTAAAGGGTAGTTTATCTTCACACTGTCAAGTCTTTCACACATCATGTGGATTGCGTAGGGATTCGGATTCGAGCACCGCAGCTCATGGATGTTAGGATCTGGGGATAGGCATTTCATACAAATCTTCTCTTCAAGGTTGACAGAGATGCGCTTCAAATTCATACCCCATTTTCGAGAGGCCTGAGAACAGACCGGCCTGGATTTGCCCTGCTGCAGCGGTAGATCGAAGGGATCGGCCTCCGTCTGCCTCGGCTGTAGCATGAAACTTTGGACTCACGGGCGTTTCTTTGGCTGTCTCTGTAACGGAGCCACCACCACACCGCAAAAACATCAATGCGCCGCACAGTTTCTCGCGGCCCTTGCCCAAACCGCATTTCGTCCGTGCATCTTCAAGTGCAGACCACATCGACACGGAAATTAATGTGGCATCACACTCAGACTCACTCTGTCTCTGTCTGTGTCTCTGTGTCTGTCTGACATACGGTACGAATCAAGTCCCCCTGCCGCAACGGCCGCCTGTCTCGGGATGTGAAGACTGAAAGCTTCTGCATTTGTTGAAGAAGGCTAAAGCTATAATAGGTCTACGATAGGTTACGATAGTAACTGGTTACGATCGGATCAAGCTTCCTCGACACACACACACATCAATTATCTCTCCCTCTCTCTCTCTGTCTCTGTCTCTCTCGCTCGCTCGCTCTCTTCGTCAGCACAGTCAGAGAAGAGGCGCGCAGCACCCCCCTTCGCGCTCGAGAGCGCCCTGTTGGTCTCAAGTCTGTTTTTCTTATACTACTCGATGAGGCTCGGTGGCTTGCACTGTTGCCCCCCATCCCTGAACCTATGGGCTATTGAACCCCCGGCCTCATCAAAGCTACGGCTCATGCCAGCTCAGGCTGTCAAACCCGCACGTTGTCGGGTTCACAACTGCTATGGCTCTGGCTCCCCCTAAGACCAAGTCACAACACAACTTAGCTCAGCACCTTGCCACTCACAAAGCAACACACGACACCTCTTCACTGTTCCCCCCTGGGTTGCCAGCCAGTGAGCTACTGCACTGCGGTTTCTGATGCAAGGAACAGTCAACATGGACAGCATAACAATGGACCCTAACATGCGACCATAAACGAACTCTGAACCCCAACATGCGACCATAGTGTGCAAATCACCGCAGCTGCAAATCTCTGAGGTCCCGGCCGGTGACAAAAAAGCAGAAAAAGGTGTACCCACTAAACCTTATCACCCCCAACTGAGCGAACACGGCTGTCACCGGCTCTGGTGCCCCTCACTCGGACAGAGCCGCATGTATGCGGCGGCGCCTATGCTCAAGTCTCTCATCATCTCCCCCTCTCAGTTGGTCTTCATCTTGCTGGCTCACTTCCGGCTGCTCCCCCATGGCTTCCCCCAATGCTCGCTCTCTCTCTCTCTCTCTCTCTGCTTCTCTTTCTCTCTATCGCTCTCTCGCTCTCGCTCCCGGGAACGGTCCTGCCTCTCCGAGGGCGCTCGTCTATCGGATTCACATCCACAATCCGTTGGGAGGCCGGCTCAGGCGATGCGGTGCGTTCTGGCTGTCGCCTTCGCGCGTCCGCGGTGCGTGGGCGAAGACGGGCAGGTGAGGACATTTACATAATGCCAAACAGGCTGCCTGAACGTCATAGCATGCCCACGACTAAGAGCCTGGCTGTACGGATGCCGGCGCAAGGCTGTGAACGGCCCTTGGCCAATGCAATAAGCAGACTCTGAGAACTGCGGCTCCGCCTGCTCCCCTTGGGCCAGCAAAGGTCTGAACTAAGTTTCACGGCCCGTCTGTATAACGGCTCAATCCAACGTACGCAATCCGCTGGGAGAACCACTCGGGCGAGACAGTGCAAGCAGCCTCTGGCCTTCCAAACATCACTGCAGATCGGCCGAATGTGGGGCAAAGGAAAACGAGCACGGGCCAAAACATTTCGCTTCGCAACAACCTGCCTGGAACTCTCTGGCTGCACACTCCGAGAATTGGGGAGATCATCTTCCTTGTGCCTTGCGTGCTGGCAGGACTATAGCTCCTGACACAGGCTCAGTTCATGCCCGGACAGATCCGATCTGAGATCCTGGCTGCACAGATCCAGGCTCAAGGCTGTGAACGCCCCTTAGTTTGAGAAAGATGCGGTTTGGCATAGTGTCACTGCAAAAACCATAGGCGGGCAGGTAGGGAGGTAGGGTTCGACCTGCAGCTGGCGCTGCGGCCTCCGCCACTCTGCCCCACTCAGCGGGGGTTCTGTAAACGTCATCAGCCCCCACCGCAGGAGGCTCCAAGAGTAACTAGAGGGGATGAGAAGGACCGTGGAGGAGGCGCGCGTGCGCCATCCGGAGAGAAGTGCGAGCGAGTCCACGAGAGAGGCCGGCTCGGAGCGACCCAGAAAGAAAGAGGGAACCTGAAACCCGCCAGACAAGCAAGCAATGGCTAATCCCCAGACCTCATATACAAGACCCCCCTACACACTTCTAACCCAATTCTCTAACCGTATCTGGCTTCAAACCCACAACTTGAAACCAAAAACAAGAAACGATGTTCCAGAGAGAATGCCGCAACTGTCGTGTGTTGTCGTGTTTGATGTGTTTGCTTTTGTGGATGATTGTTTTTTTTGGTTTCTGGTTGCGAGTATTTTGGATAGTTGGCACTGTATAGCAAAGCCCTGTAAAGCCAAACAGGGCTCGCTTATACACTGCCAATTACCCATGGTACTTGGAACACAAGAACCAAAAAACATACAAAAACAACAACCCCACAAATCAACAACAAAAACACAACAGTTCCGGCATCTCTCTGGGTCTTTGTTTCTTCTGTGTTCTGCTATCTTTCTTCATCTTCGGTGTTGTGCGCCTGCGCTCTTGACGGAAATCCCCATAGCATAACGCTAAACCGTAAACCCTGTACCAAAGCATCTACAATTAGCTGTAGGATTCTGCAACTATTGGTTTACGCAAACTTGCTCTACAAGTGCTTCAAACATTTTTTTCAACATCCAAGTGCCAATAGCAGTTTCAAAATAATATTAGTTCACTCAGATCTTGTGCATGCACATGCCCATATGTGCAGCCGGGATTACTAAGCCTCACACATGAGCAACAAATGCAACAGATGTCACAGAAGGATCAAGCATCCGCCACATTGTTTGAATAGGCCATGTCGTTGCTAGAGAAGTCTTGTATATCAAGGTGAAACGTGGTTGTGTTTAATTAACTGTCGTTCCTCTTATTGAATTTTTACTTTTTATGCACAACTATGTCAAAAATGGTTCACCTGCTTTGCCGTGTTTCACCAGTAACTTTTCTTGGTTTGCTACCTCATTACTTCATACAGACGTATATGCAACAGCAAGCCGTATTGCCAGACACATGACGGTGGACTTCTGAAAAACTAACACCATTACTTTAGAAATCTTCGCGTATTTGTCAAACGAACAGTATATTTCGGCAATAGCAACTATTGGCTAGTCGTAGCAACTCCTGACCCACTTGCTAAAATTGTGGGCATCGGAATTTTTACTGGAATTGCAATAGTCATACACCTACAACCTTATCCAATCATCCCCACCCCCATTCCCAATCATACCTAAATTACCCATACATGCTTTATGCAAAAATATGGTATCAAGTGTGACCTGTGTAGTGATACTACTACACTTACCAAGGTCTTAACAGCTGTGCACTCTACGGAGGGAGAGAGAGAGAGAGAGTGCAGACAGAACAGCGCTCTTTTCCAAAAGGTGGGGTCTCACAGTGCGACTCCTTCAGTCCGCCAAAAGAAGGTCAAAGCGAAGCCTGCTGCCTGCTGACTGAAAGACTCAAGCGGCTGCAGTAGGCTGTTCAAGAGACTGAAGGACTGCAGATCGGCTGCTGCCCCCCTGAAGATCTATGCGCTAGCCCACTGCCCGTCAATAAGGCCATCGGCCACTGACTGGCAAGTGAGACAGGCCTGAGATTTGGCAAAGTCGACTGTAGCGGTGACTCTGAGGCCAGCGAAGACTGTTCTGCCACACAAGAGTCTGTCGCTGTGTAGGCGACTGACATGTACAACGCCACTGCGAACATTCGTCAGGAACTGGTAGTCTGTACTTTCGGCTACAAGTGCCAGGCTGTGACTGACACTTTGTAGGAGCTGCACATCTTCACCGGACGAGCCCTCAGAGACTGGTTCCGACTCACTAGAGCTCGCTGAGGAAGGCTCAGGTAGTCGAGGCTGGGGGGCACGACTGCTGCCCGCGACTGCCGAAGAAGCCGGCTGAGAAGAGGCTGCGTCGCTAGGGCTGATCCATCTGCCAGAGCGTGTCAAGTCTGGTTTGAAGCTGCCTGAGCGTATCTGCTGCGGTACTGTCTGCAGTTGCCTAAGTGGCCCGGCTAAGGCGTCACGCCCGTAACTGAGGGCGCTTGCGCTACGCCCACGGCTGTGGTAGCCCAGGAGCGTCTGATCTGGGTCTGGGATGCCGGCTTTCATGGTCCAACTGAGGCAACTGGCCTTCAGACCCTGACTGGTCATCTTCAGAAGAGCCTCAGCGTCACTGCCCGGCTGCTTGGACAGGAGGCATCTCATCCACCTTGTGGTTGTGGCTGCGTCCATGTTGGTCTTGAGGAGGCTGCCATCGGCTGCCAGGTCTGGAAGCAGCGGGTCATCCTCAAGACTACCCTTGCAACTGAGGCCGAGACTGCCCCTGAGTTCCAGCCATCTGTGCGCCCAGGGTTCCTGGCAGATTCCTTCGGCTGGCGCGACTAGTGGGAGGAACATGTTGCCTCTGCGGCTTTGCTTTGTCTGCTTTGGGTTTAGAACCGAGCACTCAACAAAAACTGGCTTGCCTTCCTCATCTGTGTCAATGACCAGACTGTGGCTGCGACGTATGTCGCTGTGCCTTGCTCTGGCATAGATCATGAGGAGCAGAATGGCCGCCACGTAACACTCGTACTGGGGCTCGTCTGAGTTGGCAAAACTCTGTAGCCACCTGACCCGGTCTGTACTTAAGGCTGGAGCCTGCCTGGGCGGCGCGCCAAACCTTGGACTCTCGGGCTCAAGAGGCTGGCTGCGGGCACCTGCAGGCCGAGGCTACCGTCTGTGAAGTTCAAAGCCTGGCTCAGCTGGTCTGGAACACTGCTGCCTGAGGACTGACTGGTCACGTGCTGGCAGTACAAGAAGACTAAGGCTTCACTCAAGGGCTCGTGTGGAAACGAGCGCAAAAGCCAGGCTGCAAAACGCTGAAGGCTACTAACTCGGTTTAAAAGGGTGTTCGTGCTCTTCTTGGCAAAGCGGAGGTCAAGATGACCCAGCTCTGTTCGGCTGCACTCGTGCACAATCTCACTGACTGTCTCAGACTTGAAAAGGTGAGGGGCTGCAGCTCCACTTTGACAAAGCCGCCTGTCTTTCCGCTTGGCTATCCTGTGGTTTCCACTGCCCTATGCTGCGCAACCTCGGTGTCGGCAACGTGGCTGTCTGAGGCTTAGTCTCTGCTGACTGTGCCACCGGCTGTGGGAGTGGCACTGGGTCTGGTTGACTAAGGAGAGTGTCCTAAAGCACGTCAAGAAAGTTTGCGTCCTGGGCTATGAACTGGAAGGCTTCCCAGAGCAGCCTAAGGTGCGACCTGGTGCGCTTGACCTGTCCAAAGCCCAGACCACAGTCCCAGCAAGGATCAAGTGCCCTTCTCATAGGGAGTGGAGGGCGGATATCAAAATCAGAGGCACTTGAGCCAAAATGGACGTTGCAAGGCTGTTAAAGTCTGATACAAGTATGCATGCCTTAACAGCTGTGCACTCTACGGAGGGAGAGAGAGAGAGTGCAGACAGAACAGCGCTCTTTTCCAAAAGGTGGGGTCTCACAGTGCGACTCCTTCAGTCCGCCAAAAGAAGGTCAAAGCGAAGCCTGCTGCCTGCTGACTGAAAGACTCAAGCGGCTGCAGTAGGATGTTCAAGAGACTGAAGGACTGCAGATCGGCTGCTGCCCCCAATTTCTTTCAATGAGCCGTCTGCAGAAGACACTGTGGAACTGAGCCTCTGGCAAGGCAACGGACCCACCCCACCTTTATTTCATGCTCCTGTGCCTGCGAAAAGCTGCTTGGGCACTCGCCTCGGCTGGGAGCGTCAGCAGGGTTGCTGATGCTAGGGACCCTGGCAAACCGGGAGTCAATCCTGAAGTGATGTTCACAGATCAGAGCTGCCTGAACTAGTCTGCGGTTGCTCTCTGGATATCCCCGGGCGCTGATGAGGCAGTGTCTGGCTCCATCGTTGTCAATCCACCACATGGCCGGCATGTCTGTGAGCTGTCTTCCCCAGAGGGCTGCAGCCACACAAAGGGCCAGGAGCTCACACTGCAGAATGGGATGCTGCGTACCTCAAGGGCCCAAGTCTGAACTACGTCAACTGGGACGGTCGCCTGAAACCAGTCTGAAACATGTCCATCCCGACTGCACAAGACACCTCCGAGCTTGCCGGCCCCTTGCTCAAAGGAGCCGTCTGTGAAGACTTGCGTGGCTTGAGACGCCGGCACTTTAAAAGCCCGCGGCTCTGCAAGAGGAATATTGTCTAAAATCCAGTTGAGCGCATCCCGGACTGTGGCTGTGATTTGTCTGCGACTGCGTCGGCCTGGTCTGGTTCCATACTCAAGTATGGTGCGAAAGGCCCACCTGCCAACCCTGCCAAAGGTCTGAGCATCCAGCCACCTTAACCGCCCGGCGAAAGCTAGGGCCTCGGCTGGAGACAAGCTGTCAGAATGAAGAACTCGGAGGCATGTAGTTGCGACTTCACGCTTGCGACTGTCAGTGTTGCACACACGAACAAAGCCGCTAGGGGTTCGCGGGAGGATGTAGCGATGCCCAGGCTGACAAAGGACTCAGCAAAGTCTGTTGCCTTCGCGCCTGAAAGGGCTGCCTGCCAACCAAGTAATTTCAGCAGTAGCAGAAAAGACTGAGTGAGGCTGTGGCAGTCTTGTTCCAGTGTTATGGCTGTGTAATCATCGAAAAACACGGTCAGCGGAAGCATGAGCAGGCTGACGGCTATGTGCCAAATCGCAAGACTACAACGGCAAAACCCATGCACACTGCCCGTTGCTCCGAACGGGAGGGCCTTCAGGGCTAGAACTGCTGGCTGCCTGGTCTCTGGATTATA